TTGCGCACCTGCCAGGGCCATCATCCCTGTCAAATAATACCATGCGGGACACATTCGTTTTTTCTTCGCGCGCGCACGCCGTCGTCGTCGGCCGCGGGGCCCTGAATAGTAGCCACGGTCGTCCGCATGCCACGAAGTGAAGTGTCCGAACGTCATAGGGCGGGAAGCTGGGTGTGGGTGGTGGCGAAGAGTCGTTTGGAAATTTGGTAGAGCTTGAACCGGCCCCCCCACAAAGTGGGGGTATTGCCCGCCTCCTATGAAAACCCTGGCACTGGTGAGAACGGAGTGTCCCCACGTGCTAGTAATTGTTGTTGTTGTTGTTGTTGTTGTTGTTGTTGTTGTTGTTGTTGTTGTTGTTGTTGTCGGCGTCGGCGTCGGCGTCGTCGTCGTTATCCTCTTTGTCGTCGTTATCTTCGTCGTCGGATTCGGATTCGGAGTCGAGGGAGTCGGAGGAGGAGGACGAGGAGGAGAAGGTGGAGGAGGAGGAGGAGGAGGAGGAGAAAAAGGAGGAGGAGCAGGAGCAGGAGGAGGAGGAGGAGGAGGTCTTTGCATGACCTCGGGCGCCGAGGCTCCGAGGGCTTCTGGGGGGAGGGGGGGGGGTCCCGAGGCCCCCGCTCCCTCGAGAGGAGGGGGCGACGGCCTCCGCCCGGCTCCCCTCCTCGAGATCCCCCCCCACCCCGTGCCCCTGGCTCGAGCTCCCCGCCGTGGCACTCCTGGCCGCCGGACCCGCGGGGGGCCATCCATGGCGGCGGGATAGCGCGCAGCACCGGATGGCCCTGCGCATCGGGTGCACCGCCCTCGAAAGGTATGATCGGCCGCTGGCCTCGGAGTGGAGCGATTACATTCCCCAGTGCGATGACCACCTCGAGGAGCTGAAAGAGGTGGCCTGCTCCGTCGACCACGCCGGCCTCGCCACTGCGGCCGAGCAGTGCATGGGCGCGCGGGCCTGGTCCAAGCCCGCGACGGTGCCGATTGTATTATTTTATGGCCCTCCGGGTACTGGCAAGACATACGCCATGCAGCTGATTGCTTCATATGCGCATCTCACACCTTACATCTGGCGGATGCAGGGCGCAGAACTTTGGCAGCCAGACTTTGAGAAAATGCTCAGTCACATTGGTAAGCTCGAGAACGCCGTCGTCCTCCTCGACGAATGCGAGACAGTTTTTTCCTCTCGGGAGGCGCTCGCGGGTTATGGCAGTGTTATGGCAGAGTCGAAGAAGGGCTGCATTGGGGTGTTCCTGCAGTGGGTGCAAGGCCTGGAATCATATCCGCCGAGGTCTCTCATTCTTTGCATGGCGACAAACAGGCTTGAGAGCCTTGACGACGGCATCAAGAGCCGCGCAAGGGTGATCAAGTTCCGCCTGCCAGGCTTGCAGCAGCGACTGGAGCTAGGGAGGCAAGCGAAGACAAATTCCGAGGGGAAGGGGAGCCCTGATCAAGAAAAGTTGTGGTCACCCGGGTCGGACTAGGGATTCCCCGCTCGAGAAAAGCCTCTGACCTGAACTGCCGTCTCTTTTCCCTGGCTTGGTCAGGGGCTCCCTCTTCTTTCACGCGCGCGTGTATAGCAGGCACATCAAATACGAAATCGGCCTGCCAGGGGGGTTCAGCAAAGGCAGTTCGTATCCCCCGATGGCCCCCAGGGACCGGTAAACGCTCTGTGGCACCTCAGGGCCCTCAAAGATCGACGAAGAGTGCGCCCCAAGATTTTGCGAAGGCTGTCTCATCGTGCGCGTGTGCCGTAGGCTCGACGTGCCCCACCCTGCGTGAATGGCGTCGGGGACCTGCGGGGCAGTCAGGAGGGGAAAAAACACACAGACACAATTAATCGTCGATTCCCAAGAAAATATGGGAAAATATGGGAAGTGGGGGGGAAGACAAAAACCCAGAAAATATGCGAACATATGGGGCATATTTCTATTTGTGTGTATTTATTTGTGTGTCCTGGGGCCCCTTCAGGCATGAGAGTCCAGAGACGGGGGGGAGGCGGGGCAGGGAGGGAGAGAGCAAGCGGGAGGCGGAGAACGGAGACCCCGGGCCGTCGCGGAGCACTGCGCCCTTTCCCAGTGTGGCTCCTCGGCGTTGGCGGGCGGCGTCGGGCGCGCGCACGCAGACCCGCGCTCGGCCGAGGGAGAGAGCAAAAGGGAGGAGGAGAGGTGGGAGGGGAGGACGAAAAGGGGAGATGAGGGGAGCAAAGGGGAGAAGGAGAGATGAGATGAGAAGGAGAGGTGGGGAGGACGAACAGCTGGGCGCGCGCGCGCGCGCCATGCGGGGGTCTCCAGGCAGCAGTGGCTCGTCGTCTTCGGAGGATCCAGAAGCTGATATCTCCCTCTCGGCGGGAGGCGGCGGAAGGTCGGCGGAAGCAGACAAGGACGGCTCCGCGGGCCGAAGCCGGCGGAAGGCCGGCGGAAGCCGGCGGGAATACTGCGACAGATGCGCCCCCCAGGGGGTCTGAAACCTGACCGGACAACGTCGGGAAGCACAGCTTTGTCCACAAGGCTTGTCAGATAACGTCTGGTTGATCACGCCAAGAGCTCAGTGGTTGCCTGTGGTTGCTGTGGTTACTCTGGTGCGAGCGTGCGTGTATGTACGCGTGCTTGTGTATGTGCCTGTGTGAGCGGCTGCGTGCGTGTGTGTGCGCGTGCGTGCAGGGTTGTGTTACGAGAGCGACGGGGGGGGAATGTGCGGCGTGCGTGCGGGATGTGTTATTGGGGCGACGGGCGGGGGGTATGTACGGCGTGAGTGCGGGATGTGCTATGGGGGCGACGGGCGGGGGGGGATGTGCGGCGTGCGTGCGGGATGTGCAATGGGGGCGATGGCGGGCGGGATGTGCGGCGTGCATGCGGGATGTGTTATGGGGGCGACGGGCGGGGGAGAGGTGCGGCGTGCGTGCGTGATGAAAAAAGGAAGAGATTGAGGAGGAGGGGGAAGAGGAGGAGGAGGAGGAGGAGGAGGAGGAGAAGGAAGAGGAGGGGGAGGAGGAGGAGGAGGAACAGGAAGAGGAGGAAAAGGAGGAGGAGGAGGAGGAGGAGGAGGAGGAGGAGGGGGGAGGAGACGGAGACGGAGGTGATGGAGCAGACTTCGGAGACGGAAGAGACCTCAGAGACGGAGGAGAACTCAGAGACCTCAGAGACCTCAGAAACCTCAGAGGCGGAGGAGACCTCAGAGATGGAGGTGACCTCAGAGGCGGAAGAGACCTCAGAGACGGAGGAGACGAGACCTCAGAGACGGAAGAGATCTCAGTGACGGAGGAGACTTCAGAGACCTCAGAGACGGAGGGGATTTCAGAGACGGAGGAGACGGATACCTCAGAGACGGAGGAGACCTCAGAGACGGAGGAGACGGAGGAGACGGAAGAGACGGATGAGTCAGGACCTCGAGCTAAGATGCTGCGAGTGCCGTTTTCCGAGTATGTCTCGAGCGATAGCCTCATGTTTAACGACAGACGTCTCAACCACACGGCTTCCACATCTCAATTGTCCGAGGATGTCTCGAGCGAAACGGCATTTTCCAACGATTCGCTGAATTTCGTGGGCGAGCCCCAGGGGTTCTGAAATTCGCCAGACTTGGCATCTTACCTTTTCTTATCCAGTATCTTCTCATTGCGCTGACTTTATATTTCAATGTGCGATGAGGAAAGGAAGCTCTCTACGCTGGGGGAGGAACAGGCGACGTGGGATGAGCATGGGGATGGGCAGGAGGAGGATGATAAGGATAAGGGAAGAGGAGGACGAGCAGCAGCAAGCAGGAGCAAAAGAAGCGGGATGAGCAGGGGGAAGGGGCGAGACAACGACATGCATGGAAGTTGCTCCAGAAATGTGGCCCGTGCTGGGGTGACAACGCTATTGTGAAGGACGGGGCAAGTGCCGATCCTGAAATGATATCAGCGCTGACGCAGCATCAACACTACTCTGAACAACCAGTGCTGTCCCGATGTGGCACGCCACACATGCGACATCAGCTCGTGCCAGCCCGCTTGCCTTGAGCAGTCCTCAGGGGGAGCGGCGCCCCGCTCGGGCAGGATCCGGGGGGAGAGGGTACCAGTATTCACATTCAACGACTGTGGGGAAGAAGAGTCGGGGGAAGGAGGAGGAGGAGGGGGGGCAAGAGTGAGGAGGAACGAGGAGAAGGAACGAGGAGGGGGCGCAGGGTGGAGGGATCGGGCGTCGTGTCTTTGTTTGTGATTTGCCCCCCCCCAACCCCCACCTCTCTCCCCCCCCTCCTTTTGCGTCCCCGACGAGGAGTGGTGGTCACGGCACGCCCGAACCCTGCTGCCCACGGATCACGAAAAACTGGCAGCCGCCTGTGTCGGCTTATACGAGAGGCTGGAAGCAATGCTCGAGCTCCTCCTCCTTCTCCTCCTCCTCCTCCTCCTCCTTCCTCCCTCCTTCTCCTCCTCCTCCTCCTCCTCCTCCTCCTCGTCCTCCTCCTCCTCCTCCTCCTCGTCTTTCTCCTCCTCCTTTCTCATTCTCCCCCATCCCCCTCTCCTCCTCCTCCTCCTCCTCCTCCTCCTCGTCCTCGTCCTCGTCCTCGTCCTCCTCTCCTCCTCCTCCTTCTCCTCCACCTCCTCCTCCTCCTCCTCCTCCTCCTCCTCCTCCTCCCCTCCCCCCTCCCCCTCCCCCTCCCCCTCCTCCTCCTCCTCCTCCTCCTCCTCTCCTCCTCCTCCTCCTCCTCTTCCTCCCCCTCCTCCCCCTCCTCCTCCTCCTCCTCCTCCTCCTCCTCCTCCTCCTTCCTACTGCTGGTGCTGCTGCTGTTCCATCTTCTCTCTCTTTTTTTCCGACCTCGATCCATCCACTCTGCCTCGGGATGGTGGGCGGATGGGGCGGATGAGGGGGGAATTAGAGGCGGAAGGAACAGCGCCTCGGAGGAGGAGTTTCGGGGAGGAGGATGATGACGAGGATGATGATGATGAGAAGGAGGAGGAGGAGCAGCAGCAGAATGAGAGCGCTTCTTCTGGCCGCTCTTCCTCCTTTCGGGATTTGTGGGCGATTGCAGAGCAGATGGTTCTCCGTTTGGCACGGAAGTTCAAGCGGAGTGAATCGAGTGGGAGGGCAAGTTTGTCTCTTGGCGAGTACCTTGAGCAGGTGGCACTGTTTCGCAGGGCGTTGCGTCTCGATTACAACGTAGGGGATTTCCTGAAGCAGGTGGACCTCTCTGGAGTTCCAGAGCTGACGTGGAACGAGTACTACGCCGACGATGAGATCAAGGCTCAGCTGAGGGCTATTTCGGAGAGCACACCTGCAGATGAGCAAGTGCTGCGGCGGTCTGTGTATGGTAGCAATGGTCGACCATCTGGGCCGCCGATCGTACTTCTGCACGGGCCACCTGGCACCGGAAAGACTCAAGGAATGAGAGTGGTCGCCGCGCAGACGAAGAAGACCCTGTACATGCTGTCGTTGAAAGGACTTGTGGGGCAGAACCAGATCAGAGATCTGTTTGGCGCTATCTGGTGGCCTTCGGCCCATCCTGCCACCGTGCCTTGATCGTGGACAACAAGCATCTTGGAGACATCTTGTGCTTCTTGGAGGCCTCGTTAGGACCCTCTTTAGAGCCTCTTGGGGGCGTCTTTGGGGCTTTCTTGATGCTTCTTAGGTGCCTCTGGGGGCCTCGTGGGGGCCGCTTGGGAGCCTGCCGGCTGTCTCGCGGGCCCCTCGTATGATATGCCGCCGAAGGCTCCTTTGAGTTTCTCCGCCATCGCTTCCTCTTGGGGGCCTCTTTGGGGGCCTCCTTGGGCTCTTATTGGGCGCGCAGGAGAACGACGAAGAGTGATGTGATGTCCAGGAGGTGCAGGGAGGCAAGGTGAAGATGGGAGTGGGCAGCATTCCCTGTGGTTATTTTTTTCGTGCGGAACCCTGCTGGGCCCCCTGGGGGCCTTTTCCGGCTATGCTGTGGCATGCTGGGTTCTTCCTGAGGGTGCAAGAAGTGGGACGATGTGGAGGCCAGAGAGGAAGACGTGGAGGTGATGATGAGGAGGAGCAGGCGGAGGTGGAGGAGGAGGAGGACGAGGAGGAGGAGGAAAAGGAGGAGAAGGAGGAGGAATAGGAGGAGGAGGAGGAATAGGAGGAGGAGGAGAAGGATGAGGATGAGGATGGGGAGGAGGAGGAGGAGGAGGAGGAGGAGGAGGAGGAGGAGGAGGAGGAGGAGGAGGAGGACCGCCGTAGTGACGGGCTGTGCAAGCGTGAGCTTCGAATGGCCATCCTTGGTGTTCCATTCTGCTGCTGTCCACGGCAGGAAGTAGCAACGAGAGAGCCCGCAAAGCGGGTTTTCACGGCTGGCCCCCATGGGGACACCTAGCTAGCCAGCGTGTGAGTTTTGGGTGTTTGGCTTGGTAGACACGCTGGACACGCGTGTGTTCCATGCACGTGTGTGGTGGTGTCTTTGTCGCGCGGTTGGGGGACAGCCTCCCTGAGGAGCAGTGGATTGCCAGACATTTTTTTTGGGGGGGGCAAACGTTGGACACGCGTGTTACCAAACATTGGGCCTGTCTCTCGCGGGGCCTCGTGGAAGTTATTTGGGCCCCCCCAGGGACTCCCTTGGGGCCATTTCGGGGCCATCTCGGTGTCCCTTCTGGGGGTCCCTGGGATCGTTTGAGGGGTCTTTGGGGCCGTTCTGGGGGCGTCTTGGAGGCATGTGTGGGTCAGTCTTCCGCCGTCGTAAGACCCACCTCGTGGCCGTCCTTGGAGGCCGGCCGGGAGCCCGTTGGGCAACGTGGGGCCGCGTGGGGCCATTTGGGGCGGCTCTCTCTGGCGGCTGTTTAGGGGGCCCCCGTGGAGGGCTCCCGGGCTCCCTCGGAGGCGTTTGGGCGCGATGAGGCGTGTCTGCAAGAGATACATTTGAAAACCACTTGGTTTTTGTTGACAGTGGGTGTGTCTTGGCTCCCCCTCTCTCTCTCTCTTGGGACCTCTTTCGGCCTTCTTGGGGTCTCGTTGGCGTGTTGAAGCCCTTCTGGAGCCGTCTGGGATCGCATTTCGGGTATCTCGGAGGCGTCGGAGCGGGGAGGAGGGCGAGGAGGAGGAGGAGGAGGAGGAGGAGGAGGAGGGCGAGGAGGAGGAGGAGGACGAGGAGGAGGAGGAGGAGGATGAGGAGGAGGAGCAGGATGACGAGGAGGAGGAGGAGGAGGGGGAGGAGGAGGAGGGGGAGGAGGAGGAGTTCTGGAGAACGTGCGTTGAGGGGCTCGCCCCCCGCCCCCCCTTCCCACACCCCGCCTCCTCAAGCGGGATGTTCGACCTTGGACCTCGGGGGAGGGGGGAAGGGAGAGAGGAGCAGCCAAGCATCTCACAGGCCTTCTCACCCCAGCGAGCGGGGGTTCGGCGGACAGTCTTCGATATACAGAGCGCTCGAAGGAGCCTGAGGGCACTCCACGCAGGGCCTCGCGGCACGGTGGCGGATTCTTGAGGAGCTCGCCAGTCTGCGCGACGCGATCGTGTTCATTCAAGCGCTTCGCGCGATCGGCTGGTCATCCTGTACGAGCGTTGCCATAAAGGGTAGCCGCGAGGAGTAGGAAGTTGTTGAGTGGTGGTAGTTTTCTTGTGCTGTCGGGGCCTCTTGGGGTCCTCTCGATACGTCTTCGTGTCCTCTTGGTGCGTCTTGGGGCGCTCCTCGACCGTCTTGTGGCCCTCCGCAGACGTTGCTGGGTGTATCTTGTGGCTGTCTTCGACCTCTTCGTGGCTCTCGTGGGCCGTCCTGGGCCGTCGTTGGATCTGTGTCTGGCCGCGTTGATTGCTCTGTGGCTCCTCCGAGGCCCATCTTGAGCCCGAAGTTCCGAGAAGCCAGAAACATGAAGGCAGTACAGTGCCGTTTTTAATACATGCTCCGCGTACGGATCATGTATTAATCATGCAGGGATTTAGTATTTTAAAAACAACGATGAGTTCCTGCACACATTGATTCATACATTAATCATGCATTAAAATCCAAAGTTTCAAACATCCTATGTATCAAAAACTGCCCCGTATTGTGCTTTGATGATCATGGCTGTCTGGGGGCCTCTCTTGGGGTCTTTGTGGGCGGCTCCGGAGCCCATCCTGGGACCCCTCCTATTGTCGTCTTGGGCGTGCCTCGGAGCCTTCGTCTGCCACCTTGGCGATCTCTCGGTAATCTTACGGCGGGCCTGTCCCCCCACAGGCCGACTCTGGACGAAGATAGAAAACAGTCAAGCAATGCCCCAAGATGGTCAGAAACAGTAGCAAAAATAGCCCCCAGACTATTATGTTTGACCATTTTTTGAAAACTCCTGCTGCAGAGGGACAGGCCCGACTCAACGGCGATCCCTTGGGCCCTCGCGTGGGGCCCTGGAGCCCGGGCCCGACGGCCCCGGCGAGCCCCGGCGTGCCCTGCTGCCGGCTGGTTCGGCGGTGCGCAGGAGGGGCCCCTCGCCAGAGTTGACGGGCCTGTCTTCCACCACCATTACCACGAGTAGGAGGGGGGGAGGGGGTCCTCCTCCTCCTCTTCGTCGTCGTCGTCCTCCTCCTCCTCCTCCTCCTCCTCCTACTTCCTCCTCCAACTTATGGTGGTGGTGGTGGTGGGTTCCCCACCACCATTACCACGAGTAGGAGGGGGGGAGGGGGTCCTCCTCCTCTTCTTCGTCGTCGTCCTCCTCCTCCTCCTCCTCCTCCTCCTACTTCCCCCTCCAACTTATGGTGGTGGTGGTGGTGGGTTCCCCACCACCATTACCACGAGTAGGAGGGGGGGAGGGGGTCCTCCTCCTCTTCTTCGTCGTCGTCCTCCTCCTCCTCCTCCTCCTCCTCCTACTTCCCCCTCCAACTTTTGCGGGGCCAAACCCAGGCACGCAGGCCGCTGCTGTCGCACCGCCCGCAGCGGCCGGCAAGCCGCGCAGCAGAGGTCCGTCTCGCCAGGGGTCATCCTTGCGGTAGCCGACTAAGTTTCCTCCCCCCCAGGGCCTCGAGACTAGCCTCGTGCGCGCGAGCTAAATCATTGAGCACTGAGTGACGAGTACAGTCAGCAGGCTACCGATCATCTGCCAGGCCTTTGGCCCTGTGGGTCGGCGAATTGATGAGTGTGATGAGTTTTTCCAAGCCCGCTCGAGTTTCGAAGGCTACGCCAGTGTGGAGGTGCAGCATCAGAAGCACATCGTCACTACCTTCATCCAGTGGGCGGACGGCCTTGAGAAGAGGGAATCGCAGGCTCCCATCCTCTTCAACCTCCCTCGTCGTTGGCGTTGTCCTCCTCGTGTTTCTAGTGCTCCAGCCAGTGTGAGTTACCACGCAGGCGGCAGCTCATTCCGCTTGTGATCTGCACTTCATTATGGTATCGTCAGCAGTCTTGTCCCTCCTCCATCATCTTTGCCGTTGCCCTCCTCCTCCCCCGTCGTTGCCGTTGTCCTCCTCGTGGGTGTAGGGTTTCGGCCAGTGTGGAGTTATCTCGCAGGCGGCAGCTCATTTAGCTTGTGATCGTGATCTGCCCATCAATCATGGGATCGGGATCGGCAGCAGCCGTTGTCCTCCTCCTCCTCCACCGTCGTTTCCGTCGCCCTCGTCCTCCTCCACCGTCGTTTCCGTTGCCCTCCTTCTCGCACACTTTCTCCCCCGTCGTTGCCGTTGACCACCTCCTCCTCCTCCTCCTCCTCCTCCTCCTCGTCCTCCTCCTCCTCCTCCTCCTTCTCCTCGTCCTCCTCCTCCTCCTCCTCCTCCTCCTCCTCCTCCTCCTCCCCGTCGTTGTTCTTCTCCTCCTCCTCCTCCTTCTCGCCGCTACCGTTGCCCTTCTCCTCCTCCTCCTCCTCCTACTTCTCCTCCTCCTCCTTCTCCTTCTCCTCCTTATCCTCCTCCTCTGTCTCCTCCTCTGTCTCCTCCTCTGTCGCCTCCCCCCTCCTCCTTCCCTCCTCCTGCTCCACCTCCTCCCACTCCCCCTCCCTCTTCTTCTCCTCCTCCTCCTCCTCCTCCTCCTCCTCCTCTTCCCTCCTCCTCCTCCTCCTCCTCCTCCTCCTTCCTCCTCCTCCTCTGTCTCCTCCTCCTCTGTCCTCCTCCTCCTCCTCCTCCTCCTC